TATGTGTTTTAACCAAGGTCACCTCTCTGAGAAAGGTTGTTTCCCCAGGTAGTGCCATATATGCCAGGTCCCTTGAAACAGCAAGGATGGACTGGCTCCCAGCACCCCACTTCCTTTGCCTTGAAATGAATTTCTTTGTCAGAAGGCATGTTGTAAGGAATACCACGGAGATTAATGAATTGCCCTGTAAATCCAAGACTAATGGTGCTATCAGATGCATTGAAAGTAAGGAAGACAAATCCATGTCTGTATCAGAGTCCCAATTATTGTTTAAAGCTCAATTTTCTCCTCTTCTGCAAATAACACACACACACACACACACACACACACACTCCAACATAGCTAGGTAGGATTAATCCGGTCCAATCTAAATTATTTTCTCTAATTTAACAAAATGGGCCTAACAAAATCCAACAAAGACTATATTTCACTACATCCATTGATTATTTCTTATATATATTATCTAAACTTACAAGTAAGTAGTTTTTCTGGGACATTTAGTTGGGGAAAATATCACAGATGCAGAAGCAATAACATTTGCTTAGCTGTTCTTTCTCAGAAATTTTTGATGCCAATGGCCATTCCTTTCTTCTTAAACACTTTTATCTCTTGCTGGAGGTCAACGCATAACAAGCATTTGCATGAAAGTACAAAAGAGACTTTGGAAAGCCAATGGACTTTGATATTCAGTAGTTCGCCCTGCTGTGATTGTGATGGCTGAAGGCAATTTCCTGACCTGATCATCTTTACATTGTTTACCAAACTTTACCTTTGATCTGCCAGTATGCATTGCTAAAGGGCAAATGTGTATTCAAAGTGAATAAAAAAGTGGGCAGGACCCGGACTCCAAGTGCCTCTTCATGAAAGAGGTTTCCACCTGGCCCCCCATGACTTCCAAATTCATATTTCTTGTATAGCGTATTCACTGTTTCATCAGCCCTCCTGCAAGTCATCCTGAAGTCACTGTGAAGGTCTCAGTAATCTCTTGGATTCTATCTTGCTGTCACTTAATCCTTAATGAAATGATGTTAAATTAGAATTATTATTTATCTCAGTTCTAGAACTCTTATTTGACTCGATTTATTTCCATGTTGTTGAACCTCTTTATACTTTTATCTCTTGACTCGATTTATTTCCATGTTGTTGAACCTCTTTATACTTTTATCTCTTAATTTAAACACAAAAATCATTTTTATTTTAAATTTCCCGTTTGATATTATCAGTGTCTGAGACTTTTGGTTTGTCAATTGATGCTTTGTCATTTAGTCCTTTTCTTTCTTTTCTCTTTTAAGGGTGCCTAATAATATTTTATTAAATGCTGGGCTTCCTATATAATAAAAAGGTAATATGCAAATAGACTGGACAGCAGAACGACCAGTCGCTATGATGTGCACGGACCACCAGGGGGCAGATGCTCAATGCAGGAGCTGCCCCCTGGTGGTCAGTGCACTCCCACAAGGGGAGGATCGTTCAGCCAGAAGCCGGGCTGATGGCTGGCGAGCACAGGGGCAGTGGTGGGAGCCGCTCCCACCTGTGTGGCAGCGCTAAGGAGCAGCGAGCAGGTGGGCAGTAAGGAGCAAGGGGTCCCAGACTGTGAGAGGGATGTCCTACTGCTGGCAGGCAGACATCCCCCGAGGGCTCCCAGACTGCAAGAGGGCACAGGTCGCACTGAGGGAACCCCCCTCCAGTGCACATTTGTCATGCACTGGGCCTCTAGTAGTATATAACAACAATGGAGATTATGAATAATATCATCCTACAAAGAGATATTTATTTTTTTCCTTGCAGGCAGGTAAAATATAAACAGTAAGTCATAACCAATTGGAGTCCCTCAAGTTTTGTCTTCTTAGCTGTTTTAGAATTTTGTCCAACTTTTAAAATTATTATTAAATTTATTGGGGTGACATTGGTCAACATGATCATCTAGGCTTCAGATATGGGTTTCTATGCTACAAGATCTGTATATGGTACCATGTACTCACCACAAATGTACAACTTTTATAATGATCTTTTTGTAGGAGTTTCCATGCCATATAAGCCACAGGTCAATGTCCAGAACTGGAGATCTCCCTATTGCTCATTGTATACTGAGCACATCTACACTAATAAAAGAGAAACATGCAAATTAACCATCACTCTGCCACTCCGCTACACCCACCAGCCAATCAGAGCAACTATGCAAATTAACCCAACAAAGATGCTGGTTAATTTGCATACACAGGTGCAGAGCAAAGACTGAAGACTACTGAAGATGGTGGCAGCCATGGAGCTGGAGCAAGCTTGGGTGATGGAGGAAATCAAGCTTCCCGCTGGCCCTGGACTCCTCTCAAGGAGGGCCTGGGGGCCTGGGGGGTTACTAAACTTTACTGGAGCTGCTCCCCACACCCCCGCCCCTTACCCCAGAACCACGCTACCTGCAGCAAGGAGCCCCGGTAGCGCGTCCTGACAGGTGGGAGGCCAGGGAGAGCTGAGTAGAGAGGAGGCTGCAGGGAGCCACAGAAGGGCAGGGCCCCCAGAGCCACAGTCCCAGGGGTCTAAAGAGAGCACCTGAAGGAAGAGGATGCTTCAGCAAAGCGGCCAGCCAGGAGCCGTGGCCATGGGGTCTGCAGGTGCGTGGACAGGCCTCTGTCTGAGGGGCAGCTTCTGGGCAAGCGCCAGGGCTTTGGCGAAGTGGCTGGCCAGGAAGCAGG